ACCTGCTCCTTGAAGTTGATTAAATAAATCATTACTGAACTGGATATTTTTTCTTCTCGGTTGCTTTGTTTAGCTCTTGCTAATCGATGCACATTCTCATAGTGTCATCCTTCTAGTTCATGAATAAGACCGGAGCTCCCCAAGGCAACAAACTCAGTCTCATAAATCCCTTATCAAGAAGATCTTGCAAGTATGACATCATTTCTTGCACTTATGATGGAGCCAAACAATAAGGCTCTCTAGCAATTGGAGCAGCTCCTAGAACAAGATTAATTTGAAATTCTACTTGTCGATCCCAAGTCGGTCCTGATCCTCTGTTGGTCACGTGCTAGGCACATTTAGGGGTTGTTTGTTTACCTCTTAATAGTTCGATTAAGAGACAACATCTGAATCATTAAGTGGTGAATCTTGTTTGGCAAAAAAAAAAAAAGTCTGTCACTTAATGGTTCTAAAACCCTCTGAATGATTTTGTATCCTGAGCCTCCCTTAACCATTAAGCGCCCTGATTTCATTGTAAACAATTACCAAACAATTATATTTCATCTTGCACTATACCATGAAAGCCTCTTAATCATTCTGACTACTTAATCATTATGTGTCAAACCATTAAGCAACTGCCAAACAACCCCTTAGCCATCTCTACTCTAGTGTTTAAGGAAAAAATTAATATGTAAGAATGTATTTAGCAATATATAAGGATGCATTAGCCCATCTTGAATAATTTTCATTTATTCTTCTACTCTAGGTGAAATGAATGACCTTAACCAAAGTGAGTTTGGTTGACTATTTGTGTCAAAAAGTATACATATTTAAGTAGGGAAAATGTCATAATCAAAATTTTCTATTTGAAGTTATTAAATTTTGAATTTTTTTAACAAATAAAACTGATTAAATACGTATTTGTAACCTATAAATCGATTGATGTAATAAAAATCTTTAAAAAGTCTGAAAAATACCAACTTACTTTCTATTTTGTGCAGTATGTCTTTGAACTTTTTTTTGAACAAATAAATCTCTTAACTTACAAAATGAAATAAATATATATATTTTCTTATCATCAACAAAATACAATAAACCAATTAAACAAATATCATTTTTATTACTAAGGGGTTGTTTGGCAGTTGCAGAATAATTTGGTACATAATGATTAAGTGATCAGAATGATTAAGAGACTCTCATGATATAGTTCAAAATGAAATATAATTCTTTAGTAAATGTTTACACTGAAATTAGGGCGTTGAATGGTTAAGGGAGGTCTATGATACAAAATCATTCAGAGGGTTTTGGAACCATTAAGAGACATACTTTTTTTTTTTGTCAAACAAGATTCACCTCTTAACGATTCAGATCATGTCTCTTCATGGAACTATTAAGAGATAAACAAACAACCCATAATTCTGTAAAAATTATGTCAAAAGCATGAATAGATGCATACAAAATTTATGCTCAAAACCTTCACAAAATATACTCAAAGTTGTTATCTTGTTTAAAATATGTATCAAAAGATATGTTTATCCCATCAACAAATGAATATAACCAAAGTTGTGTCATTTGCAATTACCAAGTAATGTCTAATTTAAATTAAGAGTCTTATTTATTGAAGACTCACTTCCATCTTTATCATTATATATATATGGTTTATTTCAAATACAACCTATCGCATTTGTACAACCAATGCAACCCAATAAATTGAAATATTTATGGAAGTGATTAGAGTTCATTTATTATGATTTAAATATTTATGGAAGATGAATACGGT